ATGGTTTGCCCTTGTGGATCAGAAGTAACCCACAGGGCTAGGAATATGGAGGCAGTGCCTCGCAAGGAGCATGACTCAACTTGCCGGCAGTCTGTTTGGGACGCCACCACTGAGGATATACACCATGACAACCTGGTGCCCAACACATGGTGGGCTGCTGAGAATACACAGCCATGCGTCCGCATGCACCACACATGCCGCCAGTCAAAAGAACCATCGAAAACAACTATCAAAGTTTGGAGCACCTTCCCTCAGGAACATGTCTCTTGTATTTTCATGTATTTTCGTATTTAAGGTTTTAAGGCTTAAGGTTATATTATATTGTGGGTATTTCCGGATTATATTGATTTAGTATTCGCATCATATTGTCAAATGCAGATGGTATTGAAATCAACAGTTGTTGGGTCATACAATTAGCATGATATATTAGTTGTCACACTTTGGTGCCTTAAGATTTCCTAACATAGGGGGTAAAAAGGCCCTCGTTTTATCTGATTTTTCTCGATTAAAACCACCCTACCCCACAGTTATCCTTAACTGAGTCTACTAATTGTGAATAAACCAATACCAAACATCCAAATGTTGCCATGCAACCATTCCACCGACTATCAGAGCTATACTGGAGACATGTCCCCGAGGGTATTTGACATGTCCTTTGAAACTAACATCAACCCACATCAACAAGTAGAAATAGGATGCAACGTCAATGCTGTCTGCTATGACAGTACATGGATCCATTGACTACCAAAAAGATCCAACAAACCTTTTGATCCTTTTGGACTTTGATGCCTCCATGGTTTGCCCTTGTGGATCAGAAGTAACCCACAGGGCTAGGAATATGGAGGCAGTGCCTCGCAAGGAGCAGGACTCAACTTGCCGGCAGTTTGTTTGGGACGCCACCACTGAGGATATACACCATGACAACCTGGTGCCCAACACATGGTGGGCTGCTGAGAATACACAGCCATGCGTCCGCATGCACCACACGTGCCACCAGTCAAAAGCACCATTCGAACATCAACCCAAATCATTAAGTCGAAAAAGGACGCAACGTCAATGCTGCCTGCAATGACAATACATGGATCCATTGACTACCAAAAAGATCCAACAAGCCTTTTGATCCTTTTGGACTTTGATGCCTCCATGGTTTGCCCTTGTGGATCAGAAGTAACCCACAGGGCTAGGAATATGGAGGCAGTGGCCTCGCAAGGAGCGTTGAGATCAACTTGCGGGCGAGTCTGTTGGGACGCACACACCAAAAAGCACCATTCGAACATCAACCCAAATCATTAAGTAGAAAAAGGACGCAACGTCAATGCTGTCTGCAATGACAATACATGGATCCACTGACTACCAACAAGATCCAACAAGCCTTTTGATCCTTTTGGACTTTGATGCCTCCATGGTTTGCCCTTGTGGACCAGAAGTAACCCACAGGGCTAGGAATATGGAGGCAGTGCCTCGCAAGGAGCATGACTCAACTTGCCGGCAGTCTGTTTGGGACGCCACCACTGAGGATATACACCATGACAACCTGGTGCCCAACACATGGTGGGCTGCTGAGAATACACAGCCATGCGTCCGCATGCACCACACATGCCACCAGTCAAAAGCACCATTCGAACATCAACCCAAATCATTAAGTAGAAAAAGGACGCAACGTCAATGCTGTCTGCAATGACAATACATGGATCCACTGACTACCAAACAAGATCCAACAAGCCTTTTGATCCTTTTGGACTTTGATGCCTCCATGGTTTGCCCTTGTGGATCAGAAGTAACCCACAGGGCTAGGAATATGGAGGCAGTGCCTCGCAAGGAGCATGACTCAACTTGCCGGCAGTCTGTTTGGGACGCCACCACTGAGGATATACACCATGACAACCTGGTGCCCAACACATGGTGGGCTGCTGAGAATACACAGCCATGCGTCCGCATGCACCACACATGCCACCAGTCAAAAGCACCATTCGAACATCAACCCAAATCATTAAGTAGAAAAAGGACGCAACGTCAATGCTGTCTGCAATGACAATACATGGATCCACTGACTACCAACAAGATCCAACAAGCCTTTTGATCCTTTTGGACTTTGATGCCTCCATGGTTTGCCCTTGTGGATCAGAAGTAACCCACAGGGCTAGGAATATGGAGGCAGTGCCTCGCAAGGAGCATGACTCAACTTGCCGGCAGTCTGTTTGGGACGCCACCACTGAGGATATACACCATGACAACCTGGTGCCCAACACATGGTGGGCTGCTGAGAATACACAGCCATGCGTCCGCATGCACCACACATGCCACCAGTCCAAAGCACCATTCGAACATCAACTCAAATCATTAAGTAGAAAAAGGACGCAACGTCAATGCTGTCTGCAATGACAATACATGGATCCACTGACTACCAACAAGATCCAACAAGCCTTTTGAACCTGTTGGACTTTGATGCCTCCATGGTTTGCCCTTGTGGATCAGAAGTAACCCACAGGGCTAGGAATATGGAGGCAGTGCCTCGCAAGGAGCATGACTCAACTTGCCGGCAGTCTGTTTGGGACGCCACCACTGAGGATATACACCATGACAACCTGGTGCCCAACACATGGTGGGCTGCTGAGAATACACAGCCATGCGTCCGCATGCACCACACATGCCACCAGTCAAAAGCACCATTCGAACATCAACCCAAATCATTAAGTAGAAAAAGGACGCAACGTCAATGCTGTCTGCAATGACAATACATGGATCCACTGACTACCAACAAGATCCAACAAGCCTTTTGATCCTTTTGGACTTTGATGCCTCCATGGTTTGCCCTTGTCGATCAGAAGTAACCCACAGGGCTAGGAATATGGAGGCAGTGCCTCGCAAGGAGCATGACTCAACTTGCCGGCAGTCTGTTTGGGACGCCACCACTGAGGATATACACCATGACAACCTGGTGCCCAACACATGGTGGGCTGCTGAGAATACACAGCCATGCGTCCGCATGCACCACACATGCCACCAGTCAAAAGCACCATTCGAACATCAACCCAAATCATTAAGTCGAAAAAGGACGCAACGTCAATGCTGTCTGCAATGACAATACATGGATCCACTGACTACCAACAAGATCCAACAAGCCTTTTGATCCTTTTGGACTTTGATGCCTCCATGGTTTGCCCTTGTGGATCAGAAGTAGCCCACAGGGCTAGGAATATGGAGGCAGTGCCTCGCAAGGAGCATGACTCAACTTGCCGGCAGTCTGTTTGGGACGCCACCACTGAGGATATACACCATGACAACCTGGTGCCCAACACATGGTGGTCTGCTGAGAATACACAGCCATGCGTCCGCATGCACCACACATGCCACCAGTCAAAAGCACCATTCGAACATCAACCCAAATCATTAAGTAGAAAAAGGACGCAACGTCAATGCTGTCTGCAATGACAATACATGGATCCATTGACTACCAAAAAGATCCAACAAACCTTTTGATCCTTTTGGACTTTGATGCCTCCATGGTTTGCCCTTGTGGATCAGAAGTAACCCACAGGGCTAGGAATATGGAGGCAGTGCCTCGCAAGGAGCATGACTCAACTTGCCGGCAGTCTGTTTGGGACGCCACCACTGAGGATATACACCATGACAACCTGGTGCCCAACACATGGTGGGCTGCTGAGAATACACAGCCATGCGTCCGCATGCACCACACATGCCACCAGTCAAAAGCACCATTCGAACATCAACCCAAATCATTAAGTAGAAAAAGGACGCAACGTCAATGCTGTCTGCACTGACAATACATGGATCCACTGACTACCAACAAGATCCAACAAGCCTTTTGATCCTTTTGGACTTTGATGCCTCCATGGTTTGCCCTTGTCGATCAGAAGTAACCCACAGGGCTAGGAATATGGAGGCAGTGCCTCGCAAGGAGCATGACTCAACTTGCCGGCAGTCTGTTTGGGACGCCACCACTGAGGATATACACCATGACAACCTGGTGCCCAACACATGGTGGGCTGCTGAGAATACACAGCCATGCGTCCGCATGCACCACACATGCCGCCAGTCAAAAGAACCATCGAAAACAACTATCAAAGTTTGGAGCACCTTCCCTCAGGAACATGTCTCTTGTATTTTCATGTATTTTCGTATTTAAGGTTTTAAGGCTTAAGGTTATATTATATTGTGGGTATTTCCGGATTATATTGATTTAGTATTCGCATCATATTGTCAAATGCAGATGGTATTGAAATCAACAGTTGTTGGGTCATACAATTAGCATGATATATTAGTTGTCACACTTTGGTGCCTTAAGATTTCCTAACATAGGGGGTAAAAAGGCCCTCGTTTTATCTGATGTTTCTCGATTAAAACCACCCTACCCCACAGTTATCCTTAACTGAGTCTACTAATTGTGAATAAACCAATACCAAACATCCAAATGTTGCCATGCAACCATTCCACCGACTATCAGAGCTATACTGGAGACATGTCCCCGAGGGTATTTGACATGTCCTTTGAAACTAACATCAACCCACATCAACAAGTAGAAATAGGATGCAACGTCAATGCTGTCTGCTATGACAGTACATGGATCCATTGACTACCAAAAAGATCCAACAAACCTTTTGATCCTTTTGGACTTTGATGCCTCCATGGTTTGCCCTTGTGGATCAGAAGTAACCCACAGGGCTAGGAATATGGAGGCAGTGCCTCGCAAGGAGCAGGACTCAACTTGCCGGCAGTTTGTTTGGGACGCCACCATTGAGGATATACACCATGACAACCTGCTGCCCAACACATGGTGGGCTGCTGAGAATACACAGCCATGCGTCCGCATGCACCACACATGCCGCCAGCCAAAAGCACCTTGCAATCGCCTTGTGGAAGGAAAAAGGGAGGTCGAGGAAGAGGACGAGTGAAATTGCTTTCGTTTTGTTCAGACAATGCAGTTTGCCCCCTCTGGGTTCTCCATGAAAGCAAGGCCAAGAATCCTGGCCACTGGCCACGCTGAGCACAGGACAAATCAATTGGCTAGCTCTCTCCCCGAACTGGGCATCCCACTTCATCGTTCTTAGCTTCCCATTCGGCGACGGAGTTCCTGTTCAGGTCATGATTCTGCCAAGAGTGGTTGCTGCGAACAGAGGACAGCATGGGACAGCATGGGACAGCATGGGACAGCATGGGACAGCATGGGACAGCATGGGACAGCATGGGACAGCATGGGACAGCATGGGCAGTATGGGACAGCATGGGCAGTATGGGACAATGGGACAGCATGGGCAGTATGGGCAGTATGGGACAGCATGGGACAACGCTGATAGATGTGCCTCCCACTGATGCATGCTGCACGCGCAGATCCATCCAGTCAAAACGCTGTCGCACCTTGGGCCAACGAGGACGACTTGATATAAGACTCAAGGAAATTCACTGCTAGGCTGGGAAAGTAGCTCCTACGAGTCTTGGAATCTAGTGAGCAGTTCTGGAAACTCTTTTGTTTTGCTCCTTGGCAGCTGGATCAGCTGGTTTTGCCACAGATCAAGCAGATAGTCTGGGAAGAGACTTTTACATAAATTTCAATCCACAATGCCCTGCAGTAACAAATTTCCAGGCTTCACCAAATCGCTCTGCTTGGCATCCCCGCGTATTCTCGTAGGTCCACGATATCAGTCACGGTGGCACTGTTGCCACCTCTCAAACGCAAGACGACCTCGAAGCGAGGATAAAGATTCAGCAGATCACTGCAATATTCTCTCATATTCTCTCATACTTGGCAAATCTGAATAGTTCCGAGAATCATCAGCGTCTCAAGAAGCTGATCCGAACAGCATAAATGACTCCTTTCTCCCCTTTGAAGAAAGCAACGTCTATCCCTGCCTCCAGGAACTCTTGAAAGCTTAACTTCCGCAAGCGCCGACGCGCTGTGTTGAGGCCATGCCTTGGGACCAACGCAAGACGAACTCTAGAGATACGTACATCCTACATCATCCTACAGGATACCATAGGATACCTATATAATCCTATATACATATTCCTTTTAAATCCCAAAGCGAAAAGCCGTGACAGTGAAGCCATCGAGAGCAGAACAACTTGAGATTTCTTTGCAAGGCAAATGGCTTCTGACTACAACTTGAAGTTGTCATTGCACAACTATTGCGCTAACATGGGACATTGGGGAATGCACGAATTGTTCTCGTCTTCGTCCTCATCGTCGTTTTCATCTTGCTCCGTCTGGCCGCAGGATAGTCAACATTGGGACCTACGCCCAAATTGGCTTCTATCTCCAGCCAGTGGGAAGCCCCACCTATATCAGCATCCAACAGTTACAGTCAATAGATTCCGGTCGTCCAAACATGTTCTCATCTCATATCATCTCTTGGGAGCATCGTATTGGAGGTGCCACAATGACGAAATCTCAACATGTTTATCCACAAGGCTTGCCGCTTGTGCATCCACTTACCGCACAAAAAAGACAGACGAGGATTATATACCCAGGGAAATCACCATCGGCTTTCGCAAACAGTCACAAAGAATATCTTGCCGCCCAGTGGCATTGTCCTCAAAAAGAACCTTGGCACGTCCAACAAGCTGAAACAATATTCTCGGCATTGTCTTCTACTCAATGTATGTACTTGCTTGAACAGGTTCCATAATTGTAGATATAGAATTATATATATATACATGTATACTGTATCTTATATGTGTCAATCTCTCTCTTTCCCACTTGAGAGAGAATCAAAGAGAGGCAAGCGCGTCAGTCCTTTCCCGGTCTTTCAAACTTTCTGATCTTATGTTATCTTTTGCTTTGCATCTAGACAGCCAGCAGCAACACAGTAGACATCTGAGCGTTCCTCGAACAGCATGGCTGAGTTTGTGACATCTTTCAAGTTAAGGAGGTCTGCCACATTCACTCCAAATCTGGTGAGCACCTTGTGACAAACGCACTTGCGAGTTGCATCTCACAATCTGATGGAACTTGCCACTATGCATTTAGTTTTGATGTGGGAACGAAAAGCCAAGTGGAAATCAAGATTGGTGAACTCTAAAAAGTATGGCACTCATTCTTTTACTGTAGCTGAGTTGACACTCGTAGAAGGAGTGAAGGCCCTCAGAGTTACCTAGTTGCTGGGGAACCCACGAAATGCATCTCCGGATTCTTCATGAGCAACTCAAACTCATCCCGATGGATCTGTCCTTTGAATTCATCAGCAAAGCGGGTCACAAGTCTGGCCAAGACTTTTCATTGATCTGTAGGTCTGCGTCCCCCCCACAAAGGCTCATTACAATTCAAGAAACTCTACATAACTCCATGTTCAATCGAAAGGACGCCCGATTCTTGAGCTTATCGAACTTATCAGTACTTCTCCTGATATGGCATGAGCACCTTTACAACTTTGCAGAGACTCAAACACTGCGGGATCTCAGCAGAATTCTCAGCCGATGGCTGTCATTGTCTTTGTCATGACCTCGGCCATGGGCAATGCGGCAATTCATGAGCTGGATGTAGAAGGCAGCACCAAGTGATAGACATCAATACAAGTATAGGCTGTTTAGTATAGGTATGCTCAGAAATCACCGTGCGCAAGTAGCTGGACCAAGGTGATCAACTGAAGATACGGCAAAAAGGCTTTGCTGGAAAGGGTTATGCGGGATTGCACTCTTGGACTAAGACCCAGGTGATTGCTACGAGTATGTCAATATCAATATCAACTACGAGCCAGTGCCATTGCCATTGACTGTGTAAACATATCACCAAGGCCAAAAGCAGGCTGTGATTTTCTCAGCGTGCGACACTCGAGGATCTCCAATAATGTGTTTTTGAGGTAAGCCACTGCAGCCTCTCGCCAGATCTATCCACTGTTGTGTTCACCACCATGGGTTCGTTTCAAGGTCGTTAAAAAGAACGCAGCAGTGGTCCATCACCAACAATCCCTTCTCCGCACAGCAAGCTACTCAAAGCTAGTGTAAGTAAATTGGAAGGCACGGATTTTTTTTTTTGCTTGAAAAGCTGAGTCTTGCCCACAACCACTGGTTATGGTGGCTGTGCTCACCACATAAAGCATGGCCGAGGTTGTCGAGGTCTGTTTCCCTGGACTGGGCTTCTTGAGACCTCAAGAAAACCTGGAAAAAGGGCAGATGTCTATTTGCTGCCGGCAAAAAGACCAACTGCCAAAAATATCCAAAAATTGGAAAGGAACAAGTGGCCTGGGAGTCATGAAGGACATCGTGTAAACAGGGGTTGTTTACAATTTGTGAACCTGTTGATATCTGTTGATCAAATGTGACTTTCCTGCCACACTGTCCAAGCTTCCATCAAATTCAGGTCGGAACGACGTTCACCTTATCCCAATCTCAGGCTTTGCCAGACTTCATCAAACAGAGTGCAAACATGGTTCGACCAATGTTCGACCAATGTGCAAAGTGCATGGGCTCAACTTCTAAATGGAAACAATTTGAAACCATCATCCCTCAGGCCCCTTGGGCGCCAGGACCGGCTTTCCTGACAGATAGGCTGTCAGGTTGTCTGCGACAATGTCCATGAGCCTCTGCCTGATGCCGTTTAGGCAGTTGAGGCCGTTGAGCTACAGGATCAACAGGCTATTATAGGCTATTATGCTATCACAGAGCTTTTGTCACTTTTGTGTACCTTTGTATATGTATGTCCATTTTTGTCCTTATCTTGCTGAGATCTCCATCTAGTTCAAGTCTCTGTCCATCAAAACAGTGGTAGGCCTCGTCTCCAAGCGCTTCCAGCCAATGTGCGGGGTCAGAATGACCTTTGCACAGAGCTGGAGCTCCCACGGATGAGTTTCGATTTATGGCAACTGAGTTTAACTGCTTGTGTCTTCATCTTGGTTCTGGACATTCTCCAAGCTATACAAAGGATTGTCCGCTGCTGGTGGTTCTGTCTCTTGCACATCCAAACCAGCACCTGAAGATGTTGGAGGCGGATGGAAGAACATGACACTGTACCCTCCAAAAACAACCCATAGTCAGTCTGACCAGGAGGCCAAGTCATCTCTTGCCAGTACAGACATAGAACCCAGATTTCTCAATTTCGAGCGAAACTTCTGTGTTGCAGCACCTACAGCATCTTCCTCCAACAAGATATGTGCAGGGGTTGCGGATCTGAATTCTGATTTCGACATATTTCGACTAGTTACATGGAAAAATCAAGAATCAATGCCCCAGAATAAATGCTGCGTTTCTTGGCTGCAAAAGCACCACTACCCAGGCACCTGCGATCGTCTTGTTCTGCAGGGCTTCAATGAGCTCAGGCTCCTGTGACGAAAGATGAAAGACAGGCAGTTTGTTGTGCGCCATCCCTCCACAGGTCCTTAATCAAGGAGCCACGGCCTGTGAAAGTCAGAGAAATGGCAGTGTCTCCACATCATTGGCGCAGCTGTCTGCAGAACTGCAGAACCCATAGAATGCTGGGTTCCCAATCAGAAGCCATACAGTACATAATCGGATAGAATCTTAAAATTTCTGCTCAAGCCCGCATTCTAGTGTTGGAGAAAACAGGGAGATTTGAGATTGGCATAGAATCACAAGAATGCCGTCTCTCTCTCTCTCTCTCTGAATTTGTACTAATACAGTATATGTATGTATATGTATAAAATAATGTATCTGTACTTACGAGGACTTCATTTGTTGCATGATGGTGTGGAAGCAAAACATCGACCTGTTGACTCAATCAAACCTTGCTCCCAACTGAAACCCCGGAGCCTGTGTTGATGAGGTAAGCAGTTGGCTTCATCAGCTTCAGTGTGTCCTCCAAGACTCAGCTGAAGAGGATGGTCCGTTTTGGTCCCCAAGTACCAACATTGACTGCCTCAAGAGACTGATTTGACCAATGCTCCTTGTTGATCAAGTGCTTGGTGTCCGCATTCAAAGGGCAGTGCAAGCTGACGAAGTCACCTGGTGCACTACAGCTGCCATGTAGATAGTCCAAGTATGTCCAAGTTACATCTATGTCAGATTTGTTCAAGTCGTAGAGTTCCTGGGTGCAGCCAATCGACTTGTCCGCAGCAGCTCCTTCGTGTATCAAATGCACCAAATCTCGCAGCTGATCTGGAGGGTTCGGGGGGGTTTTGGCTCCCCCAGACCATGCTGGCAGTGGTGCAAGTGGCATTCCCACCAATTGTGCATGTCGTAACAAGATACTTGTCTCCCAAACCTTGCATTTCACAAATCTGGAAATGTGGTCATCCGAAATATCAGATCCTTTCTCTCCGTTGGGTCCCCTGCTCCTCCAGAGGTAGCGCATTGGGCTTTGGGCTTCGACTTGTAATGACAACCTGGCCCGGAATGGAGACATATCCTTTAGCTCCAAGGCTTCTGCATGGTCAAAGATGGCTACCTAAGTACATAAGCATACAGTATAATTAGAAGCTATCATAAGCCAATAAGAAAAACAACTGCGATTTTTGCGAGAAACTTTCTGCCGCCATTTCAACAAACCCCACCTTCATGCCAATCGCCTCTGCAAGAGCTGCCACCTCTGGGGATATCAGAGGCCGGTCATGGCCGGTCGCCAACAACTTCTCTTTTCTGATCGGCCTTGCTGCCGATGCCACCACTGCCACCAATCAGTCCCAGAACCTTTCCCTGAAGTTCGAAATGGGGAACCTCCAGGACAGCGCACGGTGAATCAAAAGAACATTCTGGTCTTGGCAAATGAACAAACAGTTCACAGTGTGTTGATGCCTGGAGCGATTTGGTGAAGTTGTCCCGATCGCCTTTCCTTGGTACTCTAACCACTGATGTGAGCTTCTTCACATGAACATCATGAACAGAAGCGCATGTCAAATCGTACTCACTGCTGCAAAAATGTGACTCTGCTCCAGGTATCCAATCTCTTTGTTGCAAGTGCTACCAGCTGAAACCACTTAGATAATGAATGCACACTACTGCACATCCAAGCATCTGAAGCATACCTGGCAGGTCATCCAGCTGAGGAAGCTGCGATCTAATTTGGGTGTGTTTGGTTTGATATGTTCTGCAATGTTTTTTGTAGTTCCTCCAAACGGGAGGGCTGTTGGAAGAGCCTTTACAGAGAAAAAAAACGCGAATTGGTGACTAGAATTGATCAGTACCAGAGATAAGTTTACAATATCATGAGTATCACCATCATTATAATGTATATATATATATTAATATACAATATATATATATTAATATATAATATATAATATATAATATATAATATATAATATATAATACATAATATATAATACATAATATATAATGTATAATATACAATATATAATACATAATACATAATGTATAATAATACGTAATACATAATGTATAACATAGTATATAATATATAATACATAATACAATATATATAATGTATAATGTATAATATATAATAAATAATGCATAATGTATAATATATTATATCATATTATGTTACTGTATAATATGTTATATTATGTTATATTATATTATATTATATTGTATTGTATTTATTATTATATGTACTGTATGTTGATTCTTATTACAGCATATTACAGCAATATATACTAAGCATCGATTATACCAGATTATACTAGTATATTCACCAGATATCATCAGATCAAAGGCGACGGCACTCCTCAAGTCCTCCAGGAGCCACCTCTGACAATTGCTGAACACCCTCGAAGCAACGCATCTGTTGTCTATGTGCCTAAGAAACATCAAGAAACTATGTTGCTATGTTGCTTCTTGTATTCATGCCTCTATTCTGGAAACAAGTGTGGTGAGCCGATCAATCCATATCAACCCTCAAACAAAATATGATCACATCCCATTGCGATTCGATTTCCGCTCACTCCCCATCAGACTTTTGCGGAGCCAAGATGCGCATCTGGGGGACCAAGGAGCAAGAGAAATTCCTTGGCGTCCACGATGACAGATTGTTTAATAAACTCCTTTCTTTGGATGGCACGCATTTACATGTGTCAAACTTCCCGCATCCCGTGCTTCAAGCGCAGAGCTTCGGTGCGGATTTCAAGATGCGCGTGGCATCCATCATAAATGTTGCAGATTAATGCAGTGTATGTTGCATGTAGTGCACAATATGACAAATGAGAGTTGGAACCAGATTCCAGGTTCACAAAGCAACCTCTTTCAGCCTAGTTGCAGAATCAGCGTAAGAACCAGGTGTGCAACGGCATCGCTGCTGTACCTCAGTATGACCAAAGGGCTTGACTCAGTGTCTGTGTGTGTAGGAGCTTGTTGATCTGCACCCAACAACTGATTGAGATCCCTGCGCAGGGCAGTTGCAAACCATGACACCCTTCTCCTCATACAAGCTTTGGCCAATTTTTGCCAGGGAGTCAGACTTGAAAATTTTGAAAGTGATGCGAGCTTGCTTGCTTAGACTGGGCTTTCTTCGTGCAGTGGCAAATCAAAACCAAGAAAATCTCCAGAACGCACGAACATGGATTTCTACTGCTGCTCGAAAAGAGCCTTCAGAGACTTCAGTAAGGTTCCAAAGTATCTGCCATCTGGAATATTAAGCCCTCAAATGAGCAGCTTTCAACTTTCAAAACCCTCTGTCGTCCTTTATACCGCTTTATACATATAATATCATATAATTATAATATATAGGATTTCTTATAATAGATTGTGATGATTGTGATTGCGATCAATCCTTATATGTGGGATAATATAATCCCCTACAATAATCAACCAACAGGAGTTTGAACACTGCCTGAATGAGTACTTACAAAATACCCACATGACTCAACGAGACAGGCCCATTCAATGCACAAATGTCATGTGCCAATACTATACGTGCATGACTTCAGGAGATACACGCACACACACACTAGACAAGAATGGATCATTATATGATCCGGCAGGAACTGAATCCTGAAACATGCAAACCAGCCTAGGTTATTTGATGAATAAAAGAGCCACATGAGGTACTTCTCGAAAACGATGTAGGGCATCCGAAATTGTCAAACGTAGTCATAACCAGATTTCATAGAGTTTTTTGACCAGCATGTTGAAATCCAAAACGATGTTTCGGCGATTGTTTCCCAAAATAACCCATAGTTCGTCGGCGACAGGATCTCGGCGAAAATAAGTCAAAAAAACATAATACTGTCGGCGATATGGTTTCGGCGAAAATCTGAGAAAGGTTCTGATGCATGTAAATTTCAAAATTGATTCCAGATTGCGACAACAGTGCAGCAAATTGTATAACATTGTGGTTGGGGTTCTAAGCTTGGCCCCTTGCTATTTCGGAAAATTCGAGCTGCAGGTACGCATGGCTGATCAGGCCATGTATCACCAGGGAAGCCAGAGTGTCTTCGTTGGTGGTAGACTCTGGACCCTGCTACCACCCCCTGCAAATTTGTGAAAACCAATCAGAAGTTTTACATCTGTTCAGATGGTACACACACACACCTCGCATGTAGCGAGGTTGGTTTTTTGGAAGAACTTCGCTGGCGGAATCGGCAAGACACCAGTGAAAATGAACCTGTAAGATCCTAATGCACAAACGGGCGATCACTTCAATCAGAAGAGGAATTCGGAGCTTGTAGAAGGACTTCCATAGCATCGTGGAAGCTCATGCGTTCAACCATCGCCCAAGTCTGATCGAATGCGCCAGATGCCGTAGCAGCCTTCAAGGTATCAGATAGATCTTTGGCTAATTCATGGATCCGGGTGGTCAGGCTTGGTTCATCGCCAGGAGATGTCGTCTCAATGGGCACATTGTGAAAAGGATGGTGTCCGTGTACAAGGGGAATCTCAAAATGATGTCGCCAATAGTCCGCTGTGCGTAGGGACCACTCCCAGTTGCCCGAGAGACCATAAAAATAGTGTTCAGGGTCACGACATCGGGAATGCCCTAACAAGGGAATTTCTTCAATGAATAGCTCCCTGGTGTTGTTGGAGTGGGTAATGACCTTGAATTGGATCTGGTGAACCACGCGAGAAGAGAATTGAGGACGATGGAGGTAGTTGTGTGTAGAACTTGACTCCGTCGGAAAAGGAACGCCAGGAGGTGCTGGTCCTGAATATGTATCAGAATGGGCCATAGTACCCGTAGCAGGTGCCGTACTGTCAGTTACCAAAGGTGCCGACGTAGGGTTGGTCGTAGTGTCAGGAGCTCCTGAGTGACATAGTGCAGAAGTCTGGACGTCTGGTACGTGAACTGGGTTGGTAGGAGCGAGTCCACGAGTAGGATTCGAAGGCCAAGACAAGCCCGCCACGGTCGCGTCTCGTTTGTGTTCCATGGGTGAAACTGTCACAAATGCGAGAAATGCGAGAAAAAGTGCAACAACGGCTGAGGTATCAAGAAAAGCAGAAAAAAGCCAATACCGAGAATGATAATATTCACAAAATTGATAAAAGTGAAGTCCAGACCTCAATCAAGTGGTTCAATTGCGACGGATAAGCCACAGCGCAAAGTCAAATAAAATAGAAATCAAAGAATCCTTGGTGTTGGTGGGGAGTCAAGGGAGAATTGAAACCCTGTAGCATGGTTTTTTCGGCCGGCTAGCGTATCAGGGCAGGATCACACCGGAGCTAATTTTGTAGCATTGCAGACGTAGTACGAAAGGCTGTCTGGTACCCGGAATGAGGAAAGAAGATTCGCGGGAGTTGTACTGCCGAAGTCGCCATTCAGGTCGGTATGCCTCCAAAAGCTGCAAGACCGTCATATCATTGGAAACTTGGAATGTATCACCGTCCAGGTCACAAAAGCGAAACTCCAGATTCGAGGGATCAAGTTGGATGTCCCATTGGGACCTCAATCTTTTGGAGATACAGAAGCGTAGTTCAGCAATTGGGATGAGGCCAGCTTCAACTGGTTCCATCTGACGTGACCAGGTAAACAAAGCTTCAAGTTCGTAGCCACTGACATGTCTAAAATTGGAGCTCGCCAGAGCCATGTAGTGTTCACGGTCAGGTTCGCTTCGGTGAGTCAATGCCCGTAGGGGAGAGAAGTCAACCAAAATAAGGACAGGTCTGTTTGGGGGAGGGTTCGCATCACCAGGAAGGCCTCGATGTCCAGCGATCCATCCAACGGTTCGTGTACCCAGCGGTGTCTCAATCGTTGATGTAGCGCGATATGGATTGGGTCGAGAAGAACGAGGCATGGCAACTAATGTCGGGTGTCGAAGATGAAGCGGAAAGCCCAAGCTGCAGAATAGGTGAATAATGACCAAAGAATAAAGCTCAAAGTGTTGAAAATTGAAGAGAAACAGGTTACCTAGACAGTGGTCACAAAAAGACGGTAAAGCCCTGTTCTTTTCCGGTGCTGCCAAATAATGTGGTGTATTACACACTGGAGTCTGACATATCCATCGGGTCCGTATCGTTCGCATCCAGTGGACCTTGTACTTGTTGAGGAGGGACAGTCGGCCGAGTGAGATGTAAAGTACGTTGTAATGTTGCCGGTGGTGACGAAGGTGGTGTAGACCGCCATGGTGGCCAGTATAAGGAGGTGGTAGTTCCTTGAGAGTGATGTTGCGCAGAGCGTCCCCAGCATGACTGCAAAATATTAGAGTTGGTCTGGTATTGCTTCATACGGTTGGGAAACATAGACATTGGAGTGTTCAGGGTGTGGTAGAACAGGAACGGCAGTAGTCGTAGAGGAGGAGGATGATGATTGAATTGGTACGTCATAGTGTCGGCGCCAATGATTAGCCGTGGTACGTAGAGTCGCCTGATCAGTAGTGAGGTGCATGTTCTTCAGAAAGGTTTCCACAGGTTTCCACGTTTCAATACCATCCATGGTCCTTTCCACGACCCAAAGTTCATCAGGACGGTTAGACAACGGGTAGTTCAGCTTCTTGATGAATATGGAATGAACAGTTGTCGAGGTCGGGATGGTTCGTGCTTCACGAGGGATATACGATGACGAAGTAGGATCATCCGGAGGTAGATGTGGAACAGGGCCATGTAGGGATGTAGGTGGGGAACGGTGTGAAGCC